ATGAACTTTGACAGACATCTGATGTAGTGTTTTTAGCTAAAGCTAATTCACAACACTTGTCCCTAGTAGGGCTTTTTGATTAAAAAAACAAAACAAAAACAAAAAACAAAAATGAAGTACAATGGAAGAAAATAAAAAAGGATAAAATATATACAGATTGGGCAATGTGTAAAGACTAAATATGAGAGCAGTATTGTTCCTGAATTAACCACGATTTAGTGTTTTTGTTTGAAGGAGGCTAATGTTGGGATACATTTCAAGTGATCTGGTAGAGAATTCCATAATTTTGCCCCTTTTACCGAAATGGAAGCCTGGGCAAATGATGTTCTTCGAAAAGGGATACTACAATTGCCTTTTGACGCTGATCGGGTGATGGATCTGGTACTTTGCTGTCTTGTTATTGTTTTGCAAAGTGGTGGTGGAGCAGCATCATTTAAGCATTTGAAGACCAGTTTAACCAGATGCAGGGAGATAAAATTAGCAAAACTTCAAAAAATCTTATATTTACTTTGAATTTGGCAGTGATGATACCTTATTCTCTTCTCCCCCAGAATTTTCAAGACTCAGTTATATAGACACTCTATGGTTTTGACTGATGACTGATGAGCTTGGGACCATGTGGTTAAGCCATAGATATGTGTGAGAGGATCATAGAATTAAAAAAAATAAAAGCACAGTCAAGAGTCAAGCAGTTTCTTATCATCATAAAACAGCTCAAGTTGGCCTTAATGGTTTTTTACGGATTCTCTTGATATTACTTTTGAAATTCAACTGATAGTCTACAATTATTCTGAGATACTTCACTTCAGGTACTTGCTCAATAAGTTCCCCATTAATTTTTACGTTCAAAAGTTGTGTTAGAGGTAGTTTTTTAATGGAAAAGCAGACAGAATTAGTTTTTTTGGTGTTTAAAGTTAAACAAGATGAGGCCAGCCAAGATGATATTTTAGAAATACAGGTATTACCAGATGCATACACCACTGTGTCATCTGCATACATCTGTAGACCTATATCTGGGCATACTACATCTGGAGGCTGGAGCCAATCCCAGCTGACATCGGGCGCATGGCGGGGTACACCGTGGACAGGTCGCCAGTCCATCGCAGGGCCACACATAGACGAACAACCACTCACGCTCACACCTAAGGACAATTTAGGGCAACCAATCAACCTGCATGTTTTTGGATGGTGGGAGGAGGCCGGAGAACCCGGAGAGAACCCACGCAGACACGGGGAGAACATGCAAACTCCACACAGCCTTCTTGCTGTGAGGCAACAGTGCTAACCACCGCACCACCGTGCCGCCCTAGTTATCATTATTATTATTATTAATATTATGTACATGTCAGAGGTGGATGTAATATACAGGTGCACATACACATATATGCATACATTTGCACATGTACACAGTGTGATGGAGCATAGCGCAAAGAATGCTGGAATAAATATGCAGGTGTTATGTACTTGAGGTAGGTGGATTTGGTAAACAGCATATACAACATGAACAGTATGAACAGCACTGAAGCCAATAAGTTGTCAGTCTGGTAGTAAATATACTGAGTCACAGTGTGTCCCTTAATAAAACGGATGTCAACAAATGTCTGTTCATTGTTTCCCCAACTGCTTAAAAGTGAAGGCGGTTAGGCTAGCTAACATTTAAAAAAAACGAAAAAACCGACATGGTAAAATTACATCGGTTAGAAGCTCTGAATTTCGGTTTCAATTAATTTTCATTTAATTGTCCAGCACTATTATGAGGGATAAAACATGTTTGAATGAAAAACAAGACTAAGAGTCTAAAGCCAGTTATTGTGTTAGCATGCTAACATTTGCTAATCAGCACATAAAGTACAAGGTCAGAATGAATGGAAATAGTTTTGCAGGTATTTAGTCATAAACAAAGGTAACAAAAAGACATTTAAACTTTAAACTAATGATGGTGCAATAAAAATACAGTGGATCAAAGTGGTGAACCTACCTAGCAGGCCAGCATTGCTACATCTAGAGCCAAGCTGCTAGCACAGCTAAAAGAAACTTGAGTGGGAATTTTCATTGAGTGGTGGAGATGGGCTTCTATATATTTTCAAAGATGTTGAATATATTGTATGTTTTGGGTTTTTTTAAGTAGGAAATCAGATCTGTTTTGTAGTGGTTAGTGCATTATTCCTGGACAATATGCTGATATAAACCACATTAGACGTGGTACAGCGATATATTGGATGGGCCTTAATTGCTGTGCAATGTTGATCTCTGCTCCCATATGGCTGTCACAATGGGGGTTAATTAACAATACAGTCTCTATGGTAAATCTTCTGCTGCTTATTTGTGAGTCGACACACACACACTCACACTCACACCCACACACCACATTTCTAAGCCTAATCTCTTTAGGAACATGATGTTAATGAGTTCTTGTTCTAACTAAACTTAATCCTTAACGCCATTATTATTATTTTAAACAGAACTGTAAAAGGTTGCATATAACCCTGCATGTCTGTCTAACCGAGAGAAAGTGAGTCATTACTGAAGATATTTCAGTCAAATGGTACGACAAATGTGACATATTTCTGTGACTGTAAGACCAAACATCGGTTGGTGTCTTTTGTCTCTGTGTTAATTTGTGTTGTTTTAAGTTACTGTTTCAATCAGTCCATTTAATGTTTAAGTATTTTCATTTTGGAAAGTGATAACGTACATGTGGTTTAAAGTTTACTTACTAAAATCTATTCCAGCCATTTGAAAGTGATGCTCCTTTAGTTTAAGCTCACTATGGGCAAAATACACAGTAGAGATACCTGTACAAAGTAATGCAACTCACTTGCACTGCTAAAATTGCCTAGCTATGACTACTATCTTTTGAGGCTTTACTTTGTGGTGTCATAGGCTTTATAGGCTGCATTATGCTGAAAGGTCTAATATTTGGCTCATATTATTTATAAGGTGGACACACTGTAAACACGACAGACCAGTGTTAAGTATTATAAAGGCAGTATTTATTACAGGACTGTTGAACAGTCTACAATGTATAGGCCTAGTGGTTATTATTGTTCTGTGCTGTTAGAGGATTTATCATCTTATAATTACCTGTTTTTTTTCTTTATAATATTGACATGTTTGCTTTGTATCCTTTAAAGGTGCTTTATGAGTAAAGGTTACCATCAATAATGTTTATTACTATTCTGCCACCAGCAGTTACTTTCAGTTGAACATTACTGCATCTTGATATAGTAACTCCTACAGGCACAATAACATAGCAGTGGAAGTTACATTTTTACATCAAGCCTTTTGTCAGCTCTGTGACAAGACAAATTATTTATCCACTCTTCAAATGCCCTTGTTGAAGAGTTATGGTAGGTACTCTTTTAATTATTGCTGTTTTGTGATTGCTGGTGTGTAATTTCTTAAACCTGGGCCCTATTTTCAGATATTTTGATGTCAAAATGACTAAGTACAAAAAGATTTGGAATCCGTGCCGTAGATGGCTTCAGCTGACAACTGTTAACTGGCTGCAGTGGCTACAATGTATTCCTTCGGGGCAATTACGCCCCTCAAAATTACGTCCACAAAAGTGCTTCTTTAACCACCGACAGACTCAGACTGTTACACAGGGAGTCTGACAACATTATGGAAAGGATACCTACAAGTGACACCCCTTGTTTTTAACAGGAAACTGAGGTCTCGCTCAGGGACAATTCCCTTCTTAAATCTTGTGACAGGCAAGTTGTTGCAGGAAGACATCGGTGGAAACGTGAGTTAGAGTTGGAGAGAGGAGTTTGTTTGGAAAAGTCTTGTTAGCTGCTCCTCTATGTAGCCTACACAACTCCTCTCCCTCGTTTCCAGGCGGGTTAACTGCAACAACTCACCTCAAAAGATTTCAGAGAGAGAATAGTCCTTGAGGGAAACTTCTGTGTCATTTAGTAGTGGTAGTCATTTCAACACCAAAATATATATGAAAAACGTGTGAAAACCTCCATTAAAGATTAGCGCACAGCCTCTTTACTGAGCTTCTCTATGGACTGCAGCTAGCATTATACTAGCCTAACTGTCAGAGGCTAATATGTTATTTCAATTCATCGCTGAATAAACTAAAATCTTTGAGATCACTGGAAATACAGCCAATTAAAAAAACATCAATAACAATGTTTTTATAGGGGGATGCAGTATAGTCTATATATTGTTGATGTAATGAGAACAAATGATGCATATATGATGCAGCTGTGCAGCAATTGTGCTTAGCTGGCTAAACCCAGGTTGGGAGGTCTTTAACCTTCCACTCTAAACGCTTATTACATGTGTTTGGAGCTTATTTTATTTTCATTTTCATCTCACTTCATAATAATCCCTGCACTCTGCATCTCTCTTCTTTTTTTCCTGAATGAGTAGGTCAAACAGGTCTCATGCATAGATTATGGTGCACCACCAGCTTGCGGGCAACACCCTTTTTTGTCTCCATGGCAATGATAGTTTCCCAGTTTCCATTGCGGTGCATCGCGTCAATTTTATTGCTGTCCTGAGGGGAGAAAATGAATGTGTATGTGTGCGCCGCTGAAATGAGATCTAAGAGAAAGAAACCCTCCTGTGGGGGAAATAATAGCCCCTATTAGGAGAAGATCGACACACCGTAGGCTAGATTGTATTTTTCATCTTGAGCACAATGTAATTAACACCACGCAATGTAATTAACACCACGCAAGGTTAATGGGTCCCCTATTGTTGATTTTGCAAGACCCGTGCAGAGAAAAAAAACATGCACATCAACATAATCTATAAATTCCATTTCCTGAAGTATGTATGTTTCTAACATACATCCAACGGTGTTTTAAGAAGTCCAGTTTATGAGCCCTGCATTCTGGATTGTGTGGACAATAAGGGAATAAGTAGCCAGCATGCTGATCTCATAACAAAAGCTTTGCCAGATATTTCCTCTTTTGTGCTCACAATAAAGAAAAATAAAACGCGTAATTACATCATTGTATCTGACTCGGGTCATCATCACTCACCTTTGGCGGCATGCTCCTTATCCTCTTTGCCTTTCGTTTTTCCGCTCATGGAGCTCTGCCGCTTCTTCTGGTTGTTGAATCAAACTTCAGGTGAGAGATGCAGGATTGCGGTTTTACTTTTTCATCATCGTCAGATGTTTGTCCACACGCGCAGCAGCAGTCCAACTCTCGCACTCTTTCTCGCCGTCCCTCCTTCTGTCCCTCTCTGCCCTCTCTCTCTCCCTCCACAGCCCGACTCTATTGACTCTATATGAGAGCCCGCTGGCTTCTATGTGTCACCAAATACCAGCACGAGCGCTTCCAAACGTGCGCGCGCAAAAAACTGCACACTGAGAGACAAAGAAAGATGACTCAAATATGTGTACACGCAAGACAATAAACTCTAAAGTCTTTCCAATCAGACACCCTATACGAATTTTGTGAAGAATTAAAGATACCACTTTCGAAGAAGGGCTTTAGAACCTAATTTAGTAATATTTTTATTGCAAGTCTTTGGGAAATCCTCCTCCGGCATGACACTTGTTTTGTCTTTTTAGCTAACTTTCTCCAACATCCTTTTAAACAACATATTAACATTTACAACTGCAGACTTAATGTAGGCTATTGTTGTTATAACATTTATTGTTTTAAGTGGCATTACTTTCTGGTGGCTCATTACAAAGGGAAACGAATGACCACTATTTATTGATGACTTTATTAACAGTTCTATGATGGCTTGTTGGAAAATGACACTAATGCCTCTTTATTAATAGATTATTAGTCGAAATGGCTATGTCTCGCCAATAGCTTAAATTTTCCAGTTACAAATACTAATAAAGTCAGTAATAAAGGCTTGCAGGTTTCACACTTTCAGTCACCTGCAATTACAAATGGCAGCATACGTTTGTCTTATTAATGTTGTAACTCATACAATTACAGACACACTGAAGGTCCCTTAGTAAAAATAAACATAGATTGTCTTGGTGGGGTACAATATGCACATTTGAGCTCTTACTGACTTAAAGAAGGTCATCATATTTACAGGGTTGTCTTTAATCCAATAAATGTAGAGCCACCTGCAAACTCAGCGGTCTAACACTATGCAAATTAGTCAATTTATTGATTATTTAATCAATTTGTGCTGGAAAATGGCTTTTTTACTGAGACAGCAGTGGGATACACTTACACTTACATTTTACCCTGTGAAAGTCTGCCTGCAAAATGAGGATTTTCTAGTGTGCTTCAGATTACTTGAAGTCATGCTTATTATTGGGTGCAATGCATTTTTTTAAGCTATAAAGGGAATTATACTGTCGTTGTCCTACAAATCTCTTTCTTTATTGACTGAGTCACCATCATTCACTTAAGATATACAGTGACTGTCTAAATTGACAATGGCAACTCAAACCTGCAAGTATCCTGCAGGAACGACAAGCATTTCCTACAACTCTGTTTCTGAGATCAACATATTGACAGTAAAATGTTAAGTGACAGGATATTCTTTCCCCACTTCGCACTTCTGGTTGCATCACCGTTCGGTTCAAGTCCATTTGACAACACAGTCCTAAAAACGTCAGTGTGTTAGCACTCAATGTGAAGAAGTTGGGTCAGAGAGGAATTTAGTTTCTTCTCTTAACCTACATCAAGCAGCAACATGGCAAAACAGCACTGGCTTGCTGGAAGAAGCCCCACTTTGTTTGTTTCTACCTCCGACTGTCAAGAATTCATTATAAGAGAACTAGTTTATGCTAACATTTTAGAAATGGACGTTTAAGATACTGTAAATAAGTCTAGTATTTCTGCAAGCAGAAGGTCAGAAAATGTTCCACAGGTTCTGTGTGACCTGATGTTTACTCTCTGGAGTGTGTGGCTGAACTGTCTTGACTAGATTTCAAGTCTCTAGCAAAAGAGATGTTGATTTCGAAGAGTTCCTTAACATCCAGCTTAACAAACTGGATAGCTCCTGTTGAATACCTGCAAATAAAATTAATGTTTGACTGTAAGAAACAAATTGATGGCGTCTCTTGGGTTAATGTAGTGTTTCTAAAAGTTTTAATATGTAAGCAATGTTTAACCATCACATCTACTAGTGTACCAAACAAGCAAGCAAGGAGGTCTGTAGACTTCAACCAATTAGAGCTTAGCTGGTTCACACGTAGTCTTCTGAAGTTCACATTTGCCCTATTTTTTTTTAAATGTCACGATCCTGTCCTGAGTTCCTTGTGTGCTGTATTTTGATTCTTGTTTCTCTGTTTCTGGGTTTTGGTTTTTGATTCTAAGGTTGGTTTTGTATCTGCATTATAGTCCTGTCATCTGTTCTGTTGAGTTTAGTTCTCTGAGTTTATTGTTTGGTCAGTTCAGTATCTGTTATTTAGTCTGTGTTTTGGTTCCATGTCTTTGTTCCTAGTCCTGTGCCTTAGTTCATGTCTTATTATTTACTTCAAGTTCTTTGTCTGCATTATTTTAGTTTAGTCTGCTCTGTGTTCTAGTTATGTGTTCTCGTTTAGGTTTTGTCTGTTACGATCCCTGCGTTATAATTGGTCGGTGTTTGTCTGTTTACATGGGTTTCTGTTATTGTCTGAAGTTAGATTCTTGTTTGGTATTTTGTAACATGTGTTCTGTCTATTCCCCTAGTAATCTGCCTGCCTGTCTCTTTGATTTCCCCCTCTGTCCCTCTGCCTGCCTGTCTCGTTAGTCCTGATTCCTCTCACCTGTGTTTCTCCCGCCTGCTGTTTCTGTTCAGTCTCTGTCTGGTCATTGTAGTGTTTTGTAGTGTATAGCCTGCTTAGCTCTGTTGCGCCTTCCTGTTTCCCTGTGTTTTGGTGATTTTGTATTTTTCTTGTGGATTGCTTTATTTTGGATTTTGGACTCAGCCACTCTGAAGTAAGTGTGCTCGCCTTCTGTTGGTCAAATAACCCCTTTTTGAACTTCACCTGCTCAGTATCTGGGTCCTTCTACCTGCTCTTTCCTACAAACCTGTGACATTATATTATTTTTATAATGCAAAAGAGTAACAAACACAATTGTACAATATAACTAAATATATATATGATATTAAATGTAAAACTGAAAACAAATTCACCTCTGGTCTATACAAAAGAAGTGAAGTCTAACTCCTATGACAAGTGCTTCTGAATCTTGTATAACAGGTCTGTGACGTCAAGTTGTAGTGGCGTTTTGACTCCGGCTACTAAATGAGCCAACAGCACAGCCGGCCCACTGCCAGAGTCTCCCCTGGAGGATTACTGTTCTGGGACCAGCTGCTCTATTAGAACAAAAAGTGCCACATATGACTGTTCCTGTTCCCATCAGCAGAACCCACATTGACAAAATGCTTCCGGAAAAGTAGAATTCATGCAGAGAGACAGGGCCCTCATTGGCAACATACTTGTAAAAAGAATAATATACTTAACATACAATTCATATTCAGTTGTAGTTAAATACCAGTGGTTAACTATCAGCTTTTTTTGATCTTCCCTTATTTAACAGGTTTGTTAGGGTTAATTAAATCACACCAAGTCAGATAATGAGAAAAGGAGTGTCAAGCATGGGAGAGGTGTTTAATTAAACAGCTTGTGGAGCTAATTTTGAAAAACCTGACACATCCTTAGGTATATGTCATATTTTGCCTTGTAACTTGCCAGTCATACTAATTTCTGCACTGTGAACTGCTCTCAGGTCAGCTGTAGTCAGGTCACCACTCAGTGTTATTGAGGAGACAGGAATGACAGAGACATTGACCTCATGAGTCATGCACTGGCGGCAAAACAGCTGTATGATTATACTGGCAAGGACAGAGGAGATTTCTGCATTGATTGATGACAGGGTGACATGAAAAAGTGAGGGTATTGACTTGATCCATAGGCCTGAATGCAGAGCCTTCATCACTGTCTTTATCATGGATGACCAAAGGTAACACTGCGTTAAAAATCTGTATCAGACAGAGGTCAATCCTACTGACTCACTGACAAGTACATAAGCAAACCTCCAAGAAGATACTCCACAAGAGTTACGCAAAAGATAGAAAGAAAGCATACCTCAACAGACATGTAAACACACTAAAAACAAAACACAACAAATACTGACGTCAAATGTTGCTTGCAGCAATGGGACACATCATACACAATGATCGAAAAGATATTTAAATCCTCATGTAATTAATTGTGAGTCACAAAACTTTCCATACTTAATTGTAGGCTATGATTTAAGCCATGATTTCACTTACTGTTTGTAGAAAATTAAGTCACTAATATTGCAAGTGTTTTTGTGCCTGTTTTTACATGTGTTTTTTACAGTCTGTTCACAATAAAGACAATCCAATTATAGAAATGCTGATAATAATACACTTGCATGTAACGATACAATGTCTGGACAAGATTCTCAGACAGTCCATCCACACCAGAAACATGGCAGTATATATCGATTGTGCAGCAGGTTATTACAACCCATTTTTAAGTTTTTGTTAGAATGTGACATCTAGTTGTTGTGTGATGGGAGCACAGGAGAAACTCAGGTAATGCAGCATATTAAGAGCGACAAAATCTACCTGAGGCAGCAGTTGGGGTGGATGAATGGCTCACACAAATTCAAAACTTTAATATTCAAGGAGTCTGGAGTTTCAGTTCCGTGTGAAACCATGGAAACATTGAGTTACTTAAAGTTGTGAGTTACCTCCTACCTACCTACCTAAGTTTTAACCCAAACCATGATCTTTTCCTAAACCTAACCACGTAGTTATGTTGTCTGAACCTAACCAGGTAATTCTGTTGTCTTAACCTAAACAAACTGCTATGTTTTCACAACATTAACCATGTGTTTAACGTCACATGAGTTCACGTACCTCTAGTAGATAGCTGGACTGGTACTTTCCAATGGTCATCTATGTTGTTTTGGGTAATGAACAGTCATATATGCCATTTTGGGACACTTGACAATCAACCTATTTTGTTGTTTAGGACGTGACCGTCATGCTTTTCCCAGTGTTAACCCACTTTGCCCTGCCGTAGTCTGTGTGCTTTTACATCTGAGATGCTTGACGTCAGTGACACCCTCCTCCACGGCTGAGCTACTGTTCACATCACTGACAGATCTGGTCCCAGTACACTGATCAGCAGGGAGTGATTTTAATCATAATTTTTTACAGATGAACTTGCTCATGGTTATATTCCCTGCAATTGTCTCTGCTGTCAAATCAATGCAAAGGGGATGGATTTAATGGCTTGCACAATTTGCACTAAAAAGAGGGATGCAGCCCTCCCTTACCCCATTTAGATCAACCTAAGCCAATAAGTCAACACAAGACCACTGTTGCCAAGGAGCTGCTGGATCAAGGCCAGCTGACCGGGCTGTCAGTCACAGTGATTTGAACA